TTTAGTTTCGTTATCTGATTTTAGTTACCCCCTAGAAGAGGCGTAGTTAGTTAGCGTCGAGTTGATACACTGTAAATTTTAAAGAGTTAATAAAGGATGCTTTTAACCCTTCTCCTGTACAGTTACTACTGTTCGAGTTTTTTACAGTGAATCTACCCTATATCGCTACACCTCTTTTAAAAATATTACGAACTGAGAGGGTTTCAAATATGTCAAGGAGGAAAATTTTCTTTTGAGAAAAATCCTAAAACTGTAGCTTTTCTGTCGTTGAAACCCCTGAAACTAAACTTTTCCTTCGTGAAAAATTATAAAGAAATTACAATTTTTAAAAATCCCCAGAAAATGGTAATTTACTATAACTTCCTTTTTCAGATCTCAGTTTTTTTCATTAAACTATGATTTTATTTTATAAACTATAATTTTTTTTCGTGGAACTCCTGAAACTAATTTTCCTTTTCGAAATCTCTAAAGTCATAATTTTGTTTCGTTTAACCACTAAAACTCCAATTTTCTTTTGCGAATGTATCAAAATTATAATTTTCTTTGTGATATGCCAAACGTATAGTTTAATAACGGCTTTAATCAACGTAGAATATCTAAAGTATAATTTTCTTTTTCGGAACCCTGAAACTAGATTTTATTTTGAAAAATTCCCCAAAATATAATTTTCTTTTGAGTGTCCCCTAAAAGCGTATTTTTTTGTGCAATTTCCAAAACTATAATTAGCTTTTTACAGAACCCCTAAAACTATAATTTCCTTTTGTGGAGAACCTAAACTTATTTTTACGTTACCATTACCTTACTTCAAAAACCAAAAAAGGCAAAAGCATTGAAAATTCATTTTTAAAAGCGGTAAAATTTTGTATGTTTTTCTTGTGGAACCATTAAAAGACTTTCGTGGAATCCGTACGCTGGAACAGCTGCTTGGAAGATTCTGCGAAGCACAATTTGAAGACAGCTGGTATATCTAATATCATTAACATAATTTGAGTATGTACATGTAATTTATAATATGTTTAATTGATGGTTTTCATAAATATGTGTAGCATTAAAAGATGGTTATGAGGCCATATGTTACATACCTTGCTATGGAAACTTTAAAAAATTTTTTATTGCCTTCGTAAATACCGAAACCAGAACCCACAAATTCCTGAAAGTAGGCTTATCCGCCATCGCATTCCAGCTTAATGAGCAGAAACGTTTCATGATTGCGCACCGTAAAAGAAGTGAGAATAAATCACACCATCGTGAGAAAACTATTCAAGGGTGAGAATGGCCAATCTTTCCTTTTCTTTCAAATCAACAGACAGTAAAAGTGTTAAGATTTTACTTCAGTGTCCTGCCTTCGCTACAGAAGCGGAATCAGTTTGTAAAGAAGGCGGAACCTTACATTCATTTTTCGTCCTTCAACCACGGATTGCAGAAGAAAAGGGTCATTATACGATGGAAAAGACAACTCAACTTGCTCATGTGAGTCATCAGCACTATTCGCGAATAATTGCTGTGGGCAATACTGAAGTTTGAACTTGAAAGAAAAAGTTGACATCGTTTGCTGTTGCTTTTCTTCCTGCTCGATTAGCAGCTTTTGATCTTGTAAAGAGAAAAGGCAACAATTTAATTTCCTTGGTAAGAAAACCATAAATGTTTAATTCTTCTAAGGAGTGATAATATAAGACTGTAACAGAGTATCACTGTAATATTGATAATGTAAGCAGACTATAATATTGATTTATTCTGATAATTAATCATTTTATTGATTGGTTTCACACCAAAATTCAGTAAAATGTTAATATTTTGCCTTTTTATTCCATTACAGTAAAGCTCCAGTACTCTCATTTAATACTGTAGAAATCATTAGGTTTTAGGGAACTGCACGATATGAGAAGTCAACTTTTTCCGCACTGGGATTCATATCACGAATTTTCTACTTGCAAGTTGAATGAGCTAACCAATTACACCACACATGTATACGGAAATACAACAATTCTTAAGATTCTTCTTTGCTTAAGGAATGAGGAATGGCAAAAATTTCAGTCTACCGAATCCGAATAATAACTGGCTATCGTCTACCACATTTTAGTTCAGGTGTCATTGCAGAGACAGTATTTTCGCAGCAGGGAACGTGAAAGATCAACTTTGACCACATCGGGATTTAAACTACAAGTTTTTCATTTCGTAGCTGGACATGCTTAACCACTTACATTCCGAAAGTACGTAAGGGGAACGGGGACAAATTTTCCATACTATACGTTCTACAACCTCCATAATGATTTGAATTACATACATGGATACAATGGAATGCATTTCTCTTGAAAAATGAAACGTATGAAAGGAGACAGTTTTTGGTGAGAGAAGGCTTTTAGTTCATTTTATCCATACAATGAACTGTACCATATCCGCAGCAACTATTGCAATCGAAATGGAACTAAAAATGATTATTTTCAATGTAAACTCTTATGCAGAACTCCCTTCCCTCCTTCTTAGACTGCATCTAAAAGTGATTAGTGTTTCTGAAGACATATCCTCCTCTACATATTTTTTCTTTGGTTATCCACTTCATACACGCATAAGGTATTTCTCCCGCTTTCCCATCGTGCCTTCGTGGTGTAGTGGTTCTGCACACTGGGCCGGTATTCCAGAGGTCCGTGGTTCGATTCGCGGCGAAGGCGTTGCTGATTTTTCATCTTGCCTGCTTCCAAAAACAAATACCTAATGTCTCTACACATGTTTTTATAAAAATGAAGCGTATTGATTGCAACTGAACTACGTTGGGATCCACAGCATTCCCAAAACGGCTTAAAACACCTCAATCAAGATTTTATATAGTGAGTGAATAAACGACGTTCTATTTAATGATAAATTTATTATTATTTACGTGTACTTACTTAAAATTACTGAAGTCCATTCGGAAGAGCTGGTTGTTTTGCAAAAACAATAAAAACCTTAAAATGTAAATAAAAAAAATCTACTGATTTAATTCGATTAATAACGTCTACATCGTGTTCACAAATATCCTTATTGGGATTTATTTTTAAAAAAATCTTTTGTAAAAATTACCATATCTGACATTTTATACGTTCTCTTGGCCCCTTTCAGTTATATTTGGAAAACTTTAAGCTAATTATAAAAAATATAAGAAGTATGACACTCGTACGATAAAAAATGTTAGACATTATATTCTAAAATGCACTATCTTATTCAGGAGCTTTACACTAACTGAAAAGCGAAGCTCTTCGATTGATATGTAACCGAAAATACAGAGGGTATTTACACATTTTGAGAACGATTTCGAGGCCATTTGGTTAATATTTAAAAATGTAAATAAATTGTTTTTAATGTTCAACCTCCTAGCTTTTTCTGAGACGTAATTCTACATCGTGAATTTCGATGATAGATGGGCTCTTAGTGAAATTTACGGGGTTATTAATTTTCATTCCTCTTTCACTACTTTCCAGAGTTCGTCAGTTGTAGCAGGTTTGGATTTAGAACGAGCTTTTTTCATGAAAGCAAGGCACAACAGTGTATAATTGAGAAGTCAGAGGACTTCGTAAGATAGCTTTGAATATGCAGCACCTGGACGAGTCTTCGATTTTTTAAGGAATACAGTGTTGTTTTTCGAAGCATGACTTGTTGCTTTGTCTTGATGAAGTTTCACTCTTTAAAAATCATTAGGGTAAAGAAATGGAATTTCTTCTGCGAACATTGGACGTGAAACTTTCTCTTGATAGTATAGTTAATTTTAAAAAAATTTTTCTGTTCTTTTTATTTTAAATTTTTCATTGTAAAAGAATACGGCGACAAATAAAATACTGTTCAAACTCTTTTTTTTTTTCTGCATTGACGGATCCAGGTTTGTACACATTTTCTCTTCCTTTTGAATAATAAATAGACCTTTTGTTGCAGTCATTAAGCAGACCCATGCTTTTAGATACAATGTATCTCCATTTATCTCCTGCTTAACTTTCATACAGTGTTCTACAAATTGCTTCGCGTTAAGTCACATGTTTTGGCAAAAGCTGATAGATTTTAATTTTTTTAAAGTTTTAAATCTTGATTTATTATTTTATTTATTGTTACTACAGATGTATTTAAGGACACTGCAATGGATTTCTGCATCAACAGATTTTCTGTTATTAAAAGCAATGTATCTTTAGAACATTTATCTTTAGAAACATTAGAAACAGTTTGGAGATTTGTTTGGAGTCTTCTTTCCGTGTAAAACTAATAATTGACGGTTTTTGCCTTTCCAATTTATTATCCAATTGCCTTTCCGATTGCTTATTTTGTACTCAGAAATTTTAATACCATGCATTCCACAACGTTTTTAAATTATGGAATAGGAATATTTCTCTTCGGAAAGTTAAAAAATGTACCCTTCAGTCCACCGCTTGTTTTGAATGTTTAGTTGAGAGCTTCTGGCAGCCGTGTCTGTCTTGCTGTTACTCTCGCCAACTCTGCCTAGTTTGTATTCCAGCTTTAGTGTCTTACAAGCCGATGCGCTGGTACATAACAGAGGAGGCCTAAATAGGTTATTTCATGTGCAGTCTCAGACACTTTACCTACATTGAAATTTAATTTTCTGTTATGTTACTTTAAAATACTCACAATGTAGCGGAAGTTTATTTGCAGCACTTAATACTAAAACGTTGTTTTAAACTTCTTTCAGTATTTGTGATTTGTTTCAGTGACGATTCCTTATGAATCTAATAGGGTCTGCAGGACTCAAGCTTCTACATAACAGAACCCTATAAATCTGTATTAGAATTTTTTTTTAAACAAGCCTGACTTAACGAAGCATCAAACATGTCCGAATTTTAAGTACGACCCAAGAACCGGTGTCGCCCAACCATCTTCCGATTCGTTACCGCTGTCTCATCGTTATTCGGGAGGAAGGGGGTGGCGAGGATGAAAAGGGCAGGTACAGTTGACCCCGGCCTTGCTCTCTGCGGAGTAGACAGAAACTTGCTCTCACGTGATGCCAAAGGGCTTATAAAGGAAAAACTCTCTCTTTCCCAATCACTCTCGCTCTTCCTCTAGTCATCGCATCTTCATCCGATCCAGGAACAGGTAAGTCTCGCTTTCTTCTGCCGTATTACTCTTAAAGGTTTATCTGTTTTTAATAGAGATGGTCATTATGGGACAAAATTGGAAATAAAAAAACATGAATAAAATTTGAGGATATTTCCCGTGAAATTGTATTTGTGAAAGAAATGTCTAAGAATCAAACGAAATATTCATGTTTTTTTCGTTTTCCACACTTAAGATGATGGAATAGCTCACTAAATTACAATGTATTTAATTTGCCGCACATTCGAAGTACACTTTCATATTTTTAAGGTTTCAGAATAAACATCTGACACAATCCTGTTACGCTTCTCTCCTAATATCTTTTGTTCTGTAAGTGCAAAATAGCCGATTTAAAAGGAGATTTTCACTTATCTCTTTTGTGCTCCGAATTGAACAGTAAGGTAATAGTTAAGTTTATACGACGATTGGTTGGTGTGTAAGAATATTATATTGAAAGATTTTGGCAGGTGGCATTTGTGCATTTTACAAAGGCTCTAAATAGTTCGAATGAAAGATTTTTCTTATAATGCTTCTTTTTTATGTTTTTCAATTGTCGAATTAATGAATGAAAAACCTTATGACAAGTTGAATGTTAGGTGGATACGAGATCTTAAGTGAGTTGGTAATATTACGTTATTTAAAAACATTTGACAAATGGAAATTGTATCATTATATATAGTCTTAATAAGAGAATTAAATAGTTCAAATAATAGTATGTAATGGGCGAATGATCCTAAATAGAAATTTTGTACAAAAATCTGACACGTAGAATTTATTAAGTTCTACATAAAGCCTTAATAAGACAATTACTAGTTTAAATACTAGTACGTGATGCAATTAATTGAAGCAAACGATTTTTGCATTTACATCTTTAGAAAAAACTCATGGAAGAACAATAAATTCCAGATTTAAGAAATTACGTACCTAAAGAGGGCAATGCGAAACGGTATCAATAACTAAAGCAACGTATAGCAGAGAATAAGATGATGGATTGATTCACTCAAGAAGTCCAGTTAAATGAATTAAGCTTTTATTCGGGATTTACTCGTTCCGAAATTATTACATTTGATTATTTTATAAGTGATAATATTCACCGTGCAAAAATTTTCAGACTCACGAATGAAGTACGATGGCTTTTGAATAAAGCTGAATGAATATGGTAATACTTGTGTTTACAGCAAAAAGTACTGAAGAGTGTCCGCAAGTTAATAGTCGTTTTTTACGATAAACATACAGAAATTAATAAATCACATACTTGTTTTTAAATCCATAATTTATTTTTTGAAGGTTTGTTATTATCACTTACAGTCAATGGAATTTTTGCAGTAAGATTTTTTATTATTGGCCCAAAGGGGCTTAACCCAGAAGGGCTATTAGTGTCGAAACGACATTTTGCGTCAAATCGCTATAAACGGCTATATCACTTTTCAAATTGTCGCCACCTAGCATTATCGCCCTGTATTATATTTAAAGGAGTTAAACAACGAAAAATCTGCATGAATGTATGTATGTTTCTCGCATTGTGAAAAAGCAACGATAGCCAGAGCCATCACATTTTGAGAAACGCTGTCCTCCAGGCGAATATGGGCATCTGGAAGCTCGAATCTTGAATTTCGAAATTGATTTATTACCCATTTTAGATTTTGTAAACTTTAACGAATTTTTTATTAAGAAACAAAGCGAGTAGTGGCAACACACGGTAGGGAATAAAATATTTTTATCTCCAGCGCTCAAGACTGTGTATCAGAAACGCTAAAGGTATGCTGTTTTTAAATATATTTAGCCCATCGAAAACGTGTGCATGTGTAAATGAAAAAACTAAAACTTTCCTTTGGGGTAATATAAAATCTGAAAGCTTTCAGATATTTTTCTCTTTTTTATCTTTGGTTTATGATTTTGATTTTTGATTATTTTTATTATTTCACATCATTACGCTTTTTTTATTATTTCACATGCATTATACTTGTTAATATTTCACACCAACGTTTAAAAGTGTCTAAAATTCTTTGGCAACATGTTGCTGAGGTTGAACTTGGTATTCCGCATTAATATATACAAGCGTTTTTTAAATTGGGTAAGAGTTGCTATTTTGGGAAACCGAACTGCCATTAATGGAGAATTTTATGAATGGACAGATTTGGATTCCGTAACACACAATACATATCGTAAGAATTACATAAGGTCCAGTTAAAATTCATAAAATATTGATAAAGAATCTCCACTTTTATACTTGTATTTCCTGACAGAAGGAGAAAACGCAGTGATTCTTTTACTCATTTTAATGAAGGTTATCTACTTATCTGTAGATTAGGTTTGGGAAAAAATTCTTCGGTATACCGAGAAGAGCTTTACCATGTAAATCCGTTAACAGAAAATCGGCTTGGCGGAAATGATGGGAAATAAAAAAAAATAATAAACGAATAAGAGCTTTTATAAAATGAGCTTTTGTTTAAAATTCGTAAAATAATAAATGAACTAAAAGCAGAAAAATAATTTAACGTATAGTTTAATAAGAATAAGAAAATAAATAATTATCTTTATAAAATTCATCTACAACTTTATATCACGAGTAATAAAAACGCAGCGAGCGCTTGATAAATTTATAAAGTTGATAGCTTATGTTTTCGCCTATGCATTTCGAATATTAGATTTCGTTATTCCAAATGGCATTAATGGAAAAAGATCATGGCTCAAGCCGACAAAGTAGCACGAATCATTTCGAAAGCTAAACTACATCAGATCATGCTGTCAATTTGCTGCAATTTCAAACGTGTTGTTTATTTTGAGTTGATACCAAGAAACCAAACGACCAACTCAGATATTTACTGCTAACAACTCATGAAACTGGAGGAAGCAATTAAACAGAAAAGGCCAAATTTAGCATATCCCAAAGAAATCGTGTTCCACCACGACAATACGAGGATTCGCACATCTTTAGCAACACGTATGTATTGAAGCTTGGAAGTGATGTTGCATCCTTCATATACCTTGCACCATCGAATTATCATTTATTTGGAAATTTACAAATTTCTTATGGTAAAAATTTCAATAATAATTATGACTTCAAATCGCACTTGGTTTTTTTTTTTTTTTTTTTTTCTGATAAAGACCATAAAGTCGCCAGATAGATGTCAAAAGGTCATTGAACAGAATAAGAGATATTTGACTAAAGTTCTCTGCATTTGTATAGAAAAAACTGAGTTTTATTTTACAATAAAAACCGAAATTACTTTCTTGCCAACCCTTTACATATTGCAGTACAATAGAAAATTAACAAGCACTAGGCCTAGCTATTTTTAGGCTCTCAGAAATTCTCATATTTTAATACATATCATATTGAAGCTAACTTTCAATGACTAACTTAGTTCCAGCTGTCATGAATTCACGTCCTCTCCGCTAGCAGACAGTCACTCACCAAACATGTACATTTGCTACAGTTGGGCATCTCAGGGTAAAAGGTTTTTCTGGTTGGTTGCCACAGCTCCTATTCTCTCTTAACTAGAGTTTTTTAAATTCATATTAATTTAACTTACTTACTTTCTTAGTTACAGATTATGTCACTATCAAATTTGCATTCTACTGTCGGCTGATGAAAGATGTAGATGGTATGTAAAAGAGTTGATCACATTAAATAAGACACCTAAATTAATTTCAATTAAAGAATATTTTTAATTCAGTTAACTACTACTTTACTAACGATTGCAGCTAACTAGTGCTGCTTATTGCTTACGATTGCTACTTATTTTCAATTCCTTGAACGAAGTGAAGGAAGTATTGTAATCGAGAAAAATATCGGGTGTCATATTTCAACGAAAATATCCAAATTGATTCCCCGCGAATCCAGTTGAGGTAAATTGAAATAAATAAGGTAAATCTTTCACAAGGCGAAAATTTCGCTCTCGTGTAATCTTCCAGTAAAAATAAACACTCTATGTTTTTACGTGACGTCTGTCCGTATGGAGGAAATAAAGGACTTTTTTTTTTTTTTTTTTTCAAATCGGATTGCAAACTGAATTTAAAAGGGATTCAGAAGAGAATTTTTCGTGACGTTCATCATGAAAAAATACGTACTTACGACTACGTGCGTACGAAAGAATGTTTAATTCACACGTACCTACGAATGTATCTCGCATAACTCAAAAATGAGCAACGTAGAAAGTTGAAATTTTGTATATGGAACTGTTATAGCATATAGTTTTTACCTCCCTTTTTTCGTAGCAATCGTCAGCACAAGACGTACATAAACAGACAGTATATGTATAAATATTGCCAGTCTGTTACCCGGCTTGGTGAACTCAGTATTTTTGTTCTTATATTTTGGTAAATTGTGCATTTTTTGCTTTAAAAATGGTTGAATTCTATGAGTCTTATGTTCCGTTTAAGGGTTTTACGCTTTTAGTTAATCTGCAGGCAATAGTTGTAGAATTGTCAACGATTTAAAAGTTCAAGTGGCGCTAAGCTTAACAAGGCCACTATTTATTTACATTATGTTGTTAAACTCTTAGTAGAATAGTGAATTAAGTCAGTCGGTACACGAACTTCCGTGTCTTATTTTGCCCAATATTATATAAATTTACTTTACATTTTGTGCACCGAAAATTTGTTTCTCTTCCGTTGAACGAATTCCTTTGTTTTTACCTAAAACTGTATTATATAATCTTTAACTTTGGTGCTTTTGGATTTTTCTATATTTTACAATTTTTAATGAAGACTGAGTTTTTATGTATTTGTGTCTTGCCGCGAAGTGAAAACTGAATTGCTTGAATGAGAAATATATCTGTAATAAAATTTGAGGAAATAAATTTAAATGTGCAGCAGATAATCTATATAATTTAATAGGTCATGCAAAAAAGTCATATGGTGTCCACATCACATATTTTTCGTCATAACTGCTATTTTAGTTACGATATTCATACCATCATTATTAATTATTACAATTTAAGATCTGAATATGCGAGGCTTGAAATTAATATCAGTTAAATCCTGAACAATTAAACATA